CTGGATTTGCTTAAACACTACTGAAAACCACATTTAAACGGAAAGGATTCACTTAAGATCTCTTTGTTGCCACCGTTTCCTTTGAGACAGGGTCATGTGTAGCCCAAGCTGGCCTCCAACTTTTTGTGTGCCAAGGATGACCTTGAATTTCTGATCCTCCTGCCTTCACCCTAACATATGGGAATAGAGACATATGTTGCCATCCCCAGTTTTATGATGCTGGACCTGGAACCCAGGGCTTCATGCATGCGAGGCAAGCACCCTACCAACTAAGCATCCTCTCTAGCCCTCAAGATCTTGATTCTTCAGGGCGACAGTTCATCTTCCCCCAGTACCATCCAACACCCTTTATTTTTCTATGCAAGAAGACAGAGAATGGCTCTCTTTCCCCTCGCTGAGTTATTTCCTCAGGAGAAACCTGTAAAACCCACTTTGAAACACAAGATAACTTTATGTTTTCCCACCAACGATTAAATATCGGTTCCCCTGCTCCTCGTCTGACTTGAGCCTCGGACTCTTAGCGTCTACACTTCACATCCCTCACACCCTCTGCACAGCATCCTGTCACCGTCAACTGTCCTTAAACCTTCCCTTGTCCAAAGTGAAAGCTGGTGAACTGGGAAGGAGGTGGAAAAACGCACCCCCCAAAAAACAGGTGTTACTTTGATAAAACTAGTTCCCAGGCTGTTACTGGATCCTCCAAAACAAGACGGAGTGGCATCACCCGCAGAGACCCCAACACTAAATTCTCAAGAGGCTGTATTATCTATAGCCGGGCCCCCAGAGCTCATACCTACACCTACTCATGGAAAGTGACTAAGACTTCCTAATAATGAGCAATACAGACCTAGAATCGCTTGAGGATTGTAATCAGACAAAGCCAGCCCGTGGGCTGTCTAACTCATCGATAGGAGGCCAAGTTAGCCATCCCTCCCCAGCTCTGCCACTCTGGGAAGAGGCCACTAGCAAGCCTCGGACTGCCAAAGACTGTGGGTTCTACTTCCGCCTTAGGCAGCACCTGTTGGAATGCGCAGTCTCGGGGTGCCATCTGTGTCTGCACCCCATCAGGTTTCCATTGTACATGGACAATTTTATAATTCTGACCCTCATTGTTGTCCCAGAAGACCCTCCCATTAGCGTGGTAGGAAATGCAAAACTCGATTTTCTCCTCAGTTGGAATGACACGGGGTAAGTCGATGGCAAAGGAGAAGGTGTCGCTGTCAGAGCTGCCGTAAACGTTCTTCATGTAGACACAGTCCACATCCGTGTAGGTTTTCCAGGTGTCAAAGGTGATCCGGACCCGAACCTTTTTCTCAAAGCTCACATTTTTCACTTTGACTGTCCCGGTCACTGTCCGCTCCTGCAAAGAGCAGTTCTCTAGGCAGACAAAGTTCTTCTGAAAGCGGTCCCGGAAACTTAAGTAATCAGATGAAGGCTGGGGGAAATCGAAAACCAGGTTTTTCTCCTCATGAAGCTTTAAGCTGGAGGAGATATCGTTAAGGTCCAGGAGGTCGAACTGCAGGTCCCACGCAGGTTCTTCTGGGAGGTCAGAAAAGACGTGGATAGCAGTGAGTGACAACCCCTTGGAGTCGGCAAACACGACCCGCTTCTTGGCTTGGTCATGCGGGGGCTTCCATTCATTCTGTGATTTGGCTTCCTGCTTGACGTTGAGACATGGTTTCAAAGGCTTCAATTTATTCACAAAACTTCTTCGCTGAAAGTCACTGTAAGGACCCAGGAAACTCTTCAGGGGTGGTGAATGAGCCAAGCAAATCCTCATGGCCACATCCATCGGCATGACTGGACTTGTCAGAGGACGTGGATCCAGCACATGGATCATTCTGGAATGGAAAAGGAAGAGGGGTGATCAGTAAGAGCTGGAGCAGTCTTGTGCTGGTCCCACATGCATGAGCACTAGTTACTAGTTACAGCAGGAATCAGGGAGGGGCTGACACATGAAGACAGAACACTTAGGGGAGCATGTGTGTACAGTGAGCAATGTGTGCAGTGAACATATGTGTGTGTAGTCCAGCTCTGTGCTTGGCAGGCTCCTGGACGTGTGTGAACCGCCTGGAAACACTCAGAGTGGGTTCACACCCCCTTCTGAAAAATCAGAGGTTGGGTCTGATGATGTCTGACACAGCTCTGAGGATTATTTAATCTGTTCTACGTCAGTGGTTCTTGAACCTGCCAGGTCAACATGACCTAAGGAGTTTCTCTCCTCTAGGGAAAAAAATCGGATTCCTGGGACTTAGAACCACTATAGCATTTCATGGCATGGCGCCAACAAGGCAAATCTGTACTAGAGCTTCCCCGGAGAGTTTATTGACCAGACAGTTTCTTCCATAATCATAGTACAGACAGACCGACCCTCTTGCTCTTTCTGGCTGCTATTTCTTATTTTGGCTTTTAAATTGGTTTACTTCTTTGGAGAAGTAATCCACTTGAAAAGAGATAAATGAAGCAATCTTTAAAATGTTGTGTAGTTCTTAGGTGAAGTCAGAATGACTTTTGGATTTTATTAAGTTTGCACAAATTTTTCACAAATGACCAATTGCAACACCAACTAACATCTCATGTACTAAAGGGAAAAAACTTTAATAACCTATATTTTGTATAGAAAGATATCCATGACAAATCCAAGTGAAAATGGAAAAGCTGGCTGTCAAGATAACAGACATCCTCATCCTGTCCAATAACTTCTTTACTATATCTCTGTCCTATAACCTGCTGTACACATTATATATACAAAATAAAATACATTTTTAAGAACTGATAGCCTGAGAATTGAACCATTTAAAAACACATAATAGGTATATGAATTTATAAATACTGAAAAACTTGACAGAGAAAAACATTAAAATGTTAATTATCTTTGCATGACAGAATTACAATCTACTAGTTTTGGGCTTCTTCGGTGTTACTGTTGTTTGAGAAAGGAGTATTTACAAGTAGGAATCACAATAGCTAATATAAAACCAAGACTCATTCATCAAGATTTTTTTTTCTGGCATTTCCCTTGCCTTCACACTATGTTGCCACCCTTATGGAATTAAGATTTTCCAATCTCAGCCTTATAGTTAAGAGACAAATGAAATATAGTTGGTGCCATTTTCCCCTTTGGCTTTAATTTTTAATTGTTTATTCTTTAACAGTGTATGCGTGTATATAACATATTTTGATCGAATATATATGTACTATACTTGTAGTCTAGCTTGAAGGAGTCTTTTCACAGTCATGCTAAGCACAGCACGCTGGCAAATGGTTATCATCACAAAGTTTACGGTAAAGAATGTACACAGAACTCACTTTAATAGCTCTAGGCGTTTTTCTGACAAGATTACTCCCAGCGAACAAAAGCTCAAACTGTATTTGTCTAACAACCCTTAACAGGCAGGATTTGGGGAGGGAGAATTCTTTGACTAAGTCACTACTAGAGACTCAACTAAATGTCATGGGGTGTTCTTGTTGCTTGGTCGGACGAGCTGTTACTCGTTTTTGTTTTGTTGAGCTGTTGTTTCTTTACTTCTGCATTTATAGAAAATTTTAGAATTGGGCTACTGAAATTCTAAGTCCCGGCCAGGAGTTAAAAATGATAGCTTGCTCAAACTCTGACAGACCAGGTTAAGGCAAGTGGGAGGAACGAATGAATGTAAAATCGTCCTGTAACTTTTGCCACAGCCTAAACTACCTCCCCAGCAGTGCCAGGGTGCAAACGAAGCTACCCCCAAGTGCTTGGGTCTTTGAGCTCAAAGGCAACAGAGTCACCTCAGCAAGGGAATCCCAGCAGTTTCTGCTTTGGGACGCTGACTTCCAAAACAAGCGCAAAGAAATACAACTCAATTCCACCTCTTCAGGCCTCCAGGGCGTTTCAATTCAGCCATCAATTTGGCGGTCTCCATCTGCAGAAAAAGCAAAACACAGAAATCCCCACAGAGTTGCACCGAACCTACCTGGTGCAGCTCATTGGACCGAGAGGCAGCGGCGACCACGACAGCCCCACCCAGCGCAACTTCGCACCCAGCACTTAGCGGATGCAGCGCCGCGGTCCAGCCCGCCGACTGACCGTCCGAGCCCGGGAGGCAGTTTATCAGAGCCCGACCACGTGAGCTGCTCCCTCTGACCAATCAGCGGCCGGAAGACGGGGCCAACCAGCGCGTAGCTCTGGGGCTCCAGCCCTTGTCCCCAGAACGTGACCACCGCGGGGCTGGATGTGCCCAGAGTGTGCTGGAAGGCGGGCCCGGTGTTGGGGAGCCCTGGGCCAGCGGGACCCAGCCGCGTTCCCGGAACCCCGCGTGCAGCACGTAGCGCACGGCCGCAGACACTCAGCTGACCTCTCCCTGCCTGTGCGAGCCTGGCGAGGTCTTAGGTGTTATGCGTCGGTCTGTGCAGAGTTGAATCTGAGCTCAGAAAGTTGTGTCTCCACCCGGTTTCTGTGCTATTTGAAATCCTTGTGCTCCTTGATTTGTGCGTCCTTGGCCCACACAAAAACAAGTTGGCTAGTTTTCCTTTCTCCATAAATAACGCCATGCAGCCACTCAGAGTAGGCAAGGGATGTCTGGACTTACCATTTTCTCCTAACAAATGTTAAGAAAACTTGTGAGCCCATGAAAGGAGGCGGTTCTGTGATCTCTTCCCTCTGAAGGTGGAGGCAGGGGGCCAGCCTGGACAGCCTCTACCCCTGAATAATCAAGCAGACACCACTTCGTATGCTAATCTATTTAGTTTTCTCCTTGGAAGAGAAAACTATAGGCAACACGAAGTTACTACTGTCCTTGCTTATTGTCACCGGATGCAGCAGGCAGCCCAGATCCCTGGCCGAGGTTCTGACACCCTTAGGCAGTGAGGTAAAAGTCACACTACATGTTACGACCCTCCCAAGCCAGCTGCGTTCCCTGAGGTTTCCTTATTTTATTTTGGAGCTTGAGGGACCAAATCGGTTGTACAATTAAAAACTATAAAATTAAATTTGTTAGTCAAGTACAAATGGTTTTCTTTTGTTTCTCTGAGATTTTAATAAAATTACATCATTTTCTCCCTTCCCTTTCCTCCCTCCAAACATTTCTATAAATCCCTCCTTGTTAAAATGGAGCTAGAATGAAGAACCAAAGACGGTGCTGCTGGTCTGAAGACCTCTCAGCTGGTAGAACGCTTTGCTGCTCTTTCGGAGGACCAGAGGTCAGTTTCCAACACCCAGGTCAGACGGCTCCAGGGGACCCACGCCCTCTTCTGTCTTCTGCTAGACCCTCACACATGCACCTACAAACCCAAAGACACACAAAAGTAAGTAAAAATAAATCTTTTTTAAAAAGCAAAAAAGAAAGAAAAGAAATTCATACTGAACATCATAGAGGAAAATAATGACTGGACTATTTAAAAGATTTGCTTTTATTTCATACATAGGAGTGGTTTTGCCTGTATGTGCGTATGTATGCATACCACATGCACACAGTGCCTTCAGAGGTCAGAAGTGGCATTGGATTCCCTGGCACTGGAGTTACTGATGGTTGTACGTCACCGTGTGGGTGCTGGGAACCAAATCCCCATCTTCCGCAAGAGCAGCACGTGCTCTTAACCACTGGACCATCTCGCTAGCCCTTGGCACATCAAGGTGGCCCAAACCATCTGAAAGACAATGTTTGGGGTTTGATCCTTACCTGAATCCAGGCAAGTTCTAACCCCAGATTTCTGGTGTGCCGCGCGGAGATGATAAATTTGTTTTGAGGAATAAGTTACGTTGTGCATCTCAGCACCACCCCCGATTCAGGTGTTCAGCCCATATTAGATCTCAAGGGAGTGCTTGACTCTTCCACCCTTGTCTCTCCTCTCCCCTCAGCAAAGTTAATACCTGAGGAAAACGGCGACCATGACTGTTGCTCATTGAGCCTTATCATGTACCAAACACAGTTTGGTTGCCTTGTGGTATCTGCTTAATATTCACAGCATACTAGGTGGCATTGCCTGTCACAAATGCCATCTTAGAGATAGGAAACCCAATGGGAGCTCAGTAACCCTACCCAGGACTTTCCAAGTCGAGTCGTGATCAGAGCCAAAACTAGATAGAATCTTGGGCAGGCTTTTTCTCTACACAAACCATATGTTGAGGTAAAGAGTGAATAATACCAGCTAAAGCTACGGAACAGCACACAATAAGGGGAATGTATTATGACTCTAGATGGGAGGGAATCATGTGCCTGAATAGGAGCTAGAATTTATGTCTACCAGAACAGTGTTTGGGGATAACGACAGTATGCGTGGTAAAATGGTTTTGTTTTGCTTCTCTATAGCTTTTGTATTTTTTTTTTACAATAAACACAGAAGACTTCTGTAATTAGGAAATACATTTGAAAAGATTTTTTTCAAAGTTTCAGACTCAAGTAATGTGGAGAGCCGTGCTGGGTGCCAAGAGCCATGTTGGAAGGTTTTTCATGTACTTAGCCGGTTTCCTCCCACTGTCCCTCTGAAATTCTACTCACGCTGCCTTCTCCTCTGCCCCCTGGCGTTGATTAATGCTGTCAAAGCAGCTTTCTGTTTCAACTTCAAGAGAAATTTTTAGGGAAAACAGGACTCCTCCCGAAGAGAAGTCACGGTAACCTGTAAGCTTGATGATCCAAGCCTCTCCTTCAGGTTCCTAGCTGGTTTTTGCTGCCTTTCATGCTAGGATTAGAGAAACTGGAAAGGAGTCAATGTTTTTTAGTTGGGTATTGCGTCAATGAAGATGACTGAACCAGGAGTTATGAAGAATTTTATTATTTGTGGGCTTTCTCCAAGTGCGGTTTGGCAGCATTCAAACGCTGCTTTGTCTTGCTCATCTTCACATAGTAAATCTACCAACTGGGGCTCTTTAATTGGTGCAGTGTGTCCAGCACCATGCTAGGGGTTACCAGGAGTCAGAAGCCACAGCCCTTTAACCTTGAGAATAGTCCAGACTTTATTTGATTTTAAACTCAGCAGGTAGCCCGGGCCTGAGGAGCCACTGACAGACTGGGTTACACAAGAGGGGCTGCCCCAGTGTTTGCTCAATATATCTGAGCTGCCTCTGTGGGAAACTCACCCTGGGGTCCCACAGTTACCAACTCATTTTTCCTTCTTTCTTCATGTGCGTGTGTGTGTTGTATGTGTGTGTACATGTTCATGTCTGTGCTCATGTGTGGAAACGTGTGTGTGCATATGTGTGTATACATGTTGAATGTCTTCCTCTGTCCCCACCATTGCCTTATTTTCTCTTCCTAAACCTGGAGTTGACTGATGACCAACAAGCCCCAAAGACATAGTACACTAGAACTCAAAACTCCTGTACCCATCAGTCATCTTCCTCAGTTTCCCAGGTAACTAAGACAACCAACAAGATAACATGATTTTTTTTTAAGTCTCCAGAACACTCTTGAACAAAATTAGACATCTGGGTGCTACAAAATGAGATGAGCAATGGATAAATAAAATCTGACTCTGGGAAGGGGCATTCACTCTTCTTGATGGTGACAACGCCAAGTAGCTGTGCTGTCTCTGTCTGCACTGAAGGGTGAAGCTGGATGAAGGTGCTGAACTACAAAGACTCTAAAAAGTAACCACTGAATCGTGCTGAAGGGCATTTTACAAGACCTTTAAACGCCATTACTTGTGTGTGTGTGTGTGTGTGTGTGTGTGTGTGCGCGCGCGCGCGTGCGCGCGCATGCACACGATGGTACCTGGGTGGAGGTCAGAGGATACCCTGCAGGAGTAGGTTCTCTCCTTCTGCTATGTGGGATCCAGGCACCAACCTCAGGTCGTCAGGCCTGGAAGCAAGTGCTTTTACTCACCGAGCCATCAGCCCTTTAAAGGCTTTACTGGAACTACCTGGAAGATGAGCGAGAGGAAGGGCCGTGTAAGAGAAGGGACAGAAATTAGCCAAAATGTTACCAAAATCATAGGAAACATCAAAAAAAATCAAAATGAGAACAAATAATATTCTGAAAAAGAATAAGAAGAAGGCATTTTAGCTCTATCTGCTTAAATTATACTATAGAGTTTTACAAAATAAATAAATAAATCGGTACATGAATACAGAATTATCGGCGAAAGGAAAGAATCCAGAAATAGACATGCTTACATATCAGAATTTACTAAATGCTTCAGGAGGGCATGTCTAATAAGAAGAGAGGGAAATGGATCGCTCAAAAAAATGGGCAACCACCAGCCTTGGACTGGGGATTAGAAAGCTGTCCCCAATAAAGTGCTTTTGCTGTCTGTGGAGAGATGCCTAAAGTGGGTTGATGGCGTAACAACATGTGTGAGGAAGGCATGTCAGTAGGAAAGTCCTAGTCTGCTCTGTGTTGCTATAGCAATTGCCAGATGATGGACAACATGTAAAGAAAAAGAGATTTACTTGGCTTTTACTTCTAGTGGCCAGCAAGCTCAGATAGCGTGGCAAGGGACCAACTGACTGCATTGCAACACAGCAGAGGGCGTCCTGTGGAGGAGCATAGCTGAGATCAGAGAGCAGGAGCATGCAGGGGCAATAGGACACACTGCAAGGGAGGACACGAGACAGCGGGATCACCTTCTCCCTTTTATAACCGGCTCTGGTAAGAACTAATCCACTCTTGAGAAATCTACCTATTTCTAGAGACCAGCTCAGCCTCAGTCCTTGCAGAGAGCAGTCGTCCCCAGCCACTTCCCATCGGGTTTAACCTCTGTAAGGTCCTGACACATTCAATACATTATCTGGGGAACAAGCTTCAGTGTGAGTTTGGCACTGTTAGCCTGGCTCCACCCACCCTGGGCACTGCAGTGTTGGTGATTCGGAGAATTTCTACTTTAATCCATGACTTTGGGACAAGGGGGAAAGTATTGAATGGGAGTAGGGTTTGTTTTCTTCAATGATGTAGCTACCGCTAAATTGCTTGTGATCTAGTAAATATAGGGCCTCTGTAGACAGATGCCACAAGAGTACATGAAAGGTTCTCAAGAATTTATTTAGGGATAAAATAGGGATAAACACTCACTGATACAGAACAGTTTAGATGCTGCTGATCCAGCTGTTTCTGTCCAGGTGAAGAGCAAGCCGCTTGCTCCACTCCGACCATCCAAGACGGCGGGAGCAAGAGTGTGAGACCCTCTCCCTATTGCCATGGGGAGACATCATGACCAAGGCAACTTATAAAAGAAAGCATTTAACTGGGGGCTGACTTACAGTTGCAGAGGGTCAGTCCATGATTGTGGCAGGAAGAATGGTGGCAGGCAAGTATGGTGCTGAAGCAGGGCTGAGAGCTCATATCTGATCCACAAGCTGCAGAGAGAGAGCGCAAGGCTGAGCCTGACCTGGGCTTCTGAAACCTTCAAGCCCACCCCATGACACACCTCCTCCAACAAGGCCACACCTCCTAATCCTTCCTAAATAGTCCAGCAACTGGGAACCAGACTTTCACATTTATGAGCCTATTCTCGTTTACATTCAAACCATCACATACACCCTAGCCAAGAAGTTATTTGCAATTGATACCCATTGGCAAAAGTGTAGTAGTAGGAGCAGCGGGGCTGCATCCCCAGCACCCTGGCCGCCTGCTAGCTTATGTACCGAAATAATAATTACACGGACACTGTATTCTTTTAAACACTGCTTGGCCCATTAGCTCTAGCCCTTACTGGCTAATTCTGATATCCCGATCAACCCATCTCTAATAATCTGAGTAGCATCAGTCTTACCGGGAAAGATTCAGCATGTCTGACCTGGCGGCTTGCTTCATTGCATCTGCCTCAGAGAGCAGAGCTATCGCGTCTGCCCGGGAGAGGGGAGCATGGCGTCTCTGAGCTCACTTCCTCTTCCTCCCAGCGTTCTGTTCTGTTTACTCCTCCCACCGATGTTTTAACCTATGAGGGCCAGCCTAGCAGTTTCTTTATTTTTTTAACCAATGACCTTCCTCCATCACAAAAGGAAAATTTGTTTTCTCTGATGGAGTGTCAGAGTTTATCAACCATACTTCAGGGCAGACCACGCATGCCCAGGAGTAGTTGGCCAACACAAAAGAAGCTGTATGTTTTTTCTTAGGATTTTGGGCATTTTTTTTTGTCTTATTGGTGTTTTTTGCTTATTTTGATTTTTGTTTTTGTGTGGTGTTTTGTTTTGTTTTGAAAGAGAGAGATAAAGAGCATAAAGTTGGGTGAGTGAGGAGATGGGGTGGACCTAAGAAGAACGGGAGGAAGTGGAAAACATGATCAAAATACATTGAATGAAAAAAAAATAATTAAAAATAAGTAGTCTCTGAGGGGATAGATAGAAAGGAAAGAGTGTGGGGGTCGATATGGTCAAAAGACATGATATACTTGAATGAAACTTATTTACAAAGCCAATAACCTTTTTTAAAGCTTAAAAAAAGGTATTAAAGTGAAGACTGAATCTGCGTGGTACAAGGGGAGAAACAGGGTATCTCCAGTCCCTCCTCCCTGAGTTGGACAAACCAGAGGACAGTGTGGAATCCCGCTCCCCTCTGAGTCAGACAAGCCCCTTTGTGGTTGCTCGGCTTTCTCTGCGCTATGTGGGCTGATGCTGTCTACATTGTTCTTGCTGTGCCTAGGCAGCTAGTCACACCTCTGGTTTGGTCACACATTTCATTAAGTCTTCATGCCCTGTGACATCAAATTCTGTTACTTTGCATTAAATATGAGTGGCCCATGAGCCACAGCAGCTGTCTGTGTAACCAGGCCACTGTTTACCAGGCTCATATCATCCACTGTACAGGCTTCCTGTTTTATAGCCCGATGTCTGTCTGGCCTCAGCTCTGAACTTCGGCTATAGGAAAGGTTTCAAAGCACCTTCAAGAGTCGCAAGCCCACTCACTGGTAAGATACCACAACACTTCTTTTAATCATGACGAAACTGACCTCCTCCCCTAACGAGCTGCCCCCTTGTGCTCACAAATGGTTCATGTCACCCTACTCCCAAGCCCAAACAGAGCGGCTGATAATTACTGGCTCCAAGCGGTGTTCAGAGCTCCATATTCCTTTCTTTGTGACTAGAATTGGGTGTTGCCTCCCTAAACCTGAGGGAGAAAGTGTAGATCTAGTGTAGGCCAGAGTCTTGTGTCAGAGAACTGTTTCTGCCTAGCTGTGGCACACCAAGGATGTGATGGAAAGTTCCAGCTTGGGAGCCTGGGGAAGGCAGTTTTCCAGATCCCACAGAGTCAACTATTTGTACTAGGGTTTTAATATTTTGTTTAAAGTGTAGTAAATCTTCTAGAATGTCACCCAAAACTTTAAAAAAAAAATACCCCTCCAAGCCAACCTTCTCCAAGTGTTTACCCTCCATTAGCTAAGTAATGGCCTTTTTTTAATGAGCAACTGTTAAGCATTTGTTTTATTCTGTTTTGTTTTTGTTTGTTTTTCCGAGACAGGGCCTCTCTCTATGTAGCTTTAGCTGTCCTGGAACACACTGTGTAGACTAGGCTGGCCTCGAACTTATAGAAGCCCACCAGCCTCTTTCTCCCAAGTACTGGGATTAAAGGTATGGCCTACCACACCCTGCTGCAACTGGTAAACTTTTAAATCACCTTAAAGTTCGGAGTGTTTGGAGAGCCACCAAGAGAAAGATAAGTGCTTCCAAATGCTTCCCCAACCAAAACAGGTTCCCTCCTGTAGTCAAAGCCACACTGCTGAGCAAACCAGCATCTGGTCTGGCTTTCCTGTGTGCATTGTTGAGTCCTGAGAGCTCAAACAATTGGTGATTGAAAAAGATTTTCATCCTGAAAAAGAACAGTCAGAAGAAAATTCACAATACTAAGAACAAATTATGTAGCCAGCATGTGAGGTTCCTTTACATCTAAGGGCATTGCTGCTTTGTAGGCAGACTTTTCTCTGTGTCCAGGCAGCTGCTCCCAGATAACCACACAGAGACTTAATATTAATGATAAATGCTTGGCCAATAGCTTAAGCTTGTCTCCCCGGCCAGCTCTTACAACTTAAATTATCCTGTTTCCATTCATTTCTGTGCTGCCCCAAGGCTAGTTTATCTCATCTATGAACTTCCCATGTGGCTTCCTCCTCGTCTGGCCCAGCCTCCTGAGACTCCACCCACCTTCTTCCCAGCATCCTCTCAGTTTGGCTCTTCTGCCTAATCTGTACCTGTCCAGCTATTGGCCAGTCAGCCTTTTTTATTAACCAATGAGAGCAATGCATAGTTACAGTGTTCAAAGTTTGTTCCACAGCACTGCTAGCTATAATATAATATGATTACAATATAATGTTCATTTTTCTTTTATGTTGACCTTATTTATTTATTTGGCTTTCTGAAACAGGGTCTCAAGAGCCCGGGTTGGCCTAGAATTTGTCATACAGCTGAAGATGACCTTGAACTCCTGATCCTCCTCTCTTCTCCTCCCAAGTGCTGGCATTACAGTCACACAACACCCTATCAAGCTCTAATGCTCATTTCAGATTAAATGGGTATTTACCCAAAATTCCTGGGTATTTACCCAAAAGTCTCTAAGTCAACATATCGCAGAGCCATTGGACATTCATGTTTATAGTTACACTATTCACAACACCCAGGAAACAAAGCCAGCTAGAAGTCCGTAAACAGATAGATAAAAGAAAATCCAGTACACATACACAGCAGAATTTTATGTAGTCACAAAGGAAAAGAAAATCATGACATCTGCAGGAAAATGAATGGAACTGGGGGCCATTGTGTTAAGCAAAATGAGCTAGACTCAGAAAGGCAAACAGTGCCGATTTCTCTTCAGAGGCAGAACCTGAGTTTTAAATTACAAACGTGTATCCGTATGCACGCATGTATGCATGCACAGTTATGGGTCGTGACACTAGAAAGGGAATAGATCCTGAGAATTAAGGAGCAGACCTTAAGGGAGGTGGGAATTAGAGAGGGCAATCGAATCCATAACCGGAACACAGAAGGGGCTACTCGCTAGAAAAAAGAAAAGAAGTGGGTGGTGTGGGAGAAGAGCGGGGAAGGGGAGGGAGCGAAAATAAATTGTAATGACGCTTATGTATAAAATGTGATTGTGAGAAACAATGACCCTCCCTTCATAATAAGAGTACCACTGAAGCAGTCAGTGTGCCAGCCTTGCAAAGTAGGGGCTCAGCCCAGCATGCAGGCACAGCTAACTGTGTGCTGCAGGGAACAGATCTTAAACCCTAAGCAGCAAGTCCCTTCCTCTTTTCTCCCTGCTAAGTAATCAAGAAAGTGCAAGCCTCCATGCCATCTTCATCATATCCTTTCCTCTTACATTATCTTCTTCCGAGCAAATCATGTGTGGGTTCACCTCTGTCAGACACATGCCCTTTCAGGCAAGCTTGGTCGTTAGTAGCATTCGTAACTATGCTCAGCTTCCTATTTGTGGGTAGACCACCCTAGCAGAAGTCAGCAAAGGCCTAGCATTTCCTATTCGTTTGTAGCCTGGCCTAAGATATCTCAAGGCACCTTTGAAAATGGACTAGCAGATTTTATTTCTGACATTATTTTGCATGGTAACTAAAAGATAATTTTAAAAAAGAAATAAGTCAGACTGAAAAAAAGAAAGTAAGAAAATAAACAGCATTAAGTTAAAAAAAAGAGCAAGAGACTTTTGCTTAACTCAGAACAAAAGATGACTAGCTATCACGTTTTCTTATCTTGCTTCCACTTCACCCCACCCCCAAATTCAAAGTTTGGGTGCTATTTACTGAACAAGTCTTCTCCGTGGTTTATATTGGAAGAGGTTATTATTTTGCAAAGTCCAAACAAAAATGCAATGCTCAATTCATAGTAGCCAGAGTCAGCGCTTAGGCAGAGTCAGCGCTTAGGCAATAACACTTGATGTGCGGTTAGCTCTTTCAGTGTCCTTCCCACCGTTATTCCATTTGCTCTCCACTAAAACCCTTTCTATTGCTGTGGAGAGACACCATGACCACAGCTCTTATAAAAGAAAGCATTTCATTGTGGTGATGGCCTTCATGGTGCTGGAGAAGGAGCTGAGAGTTCTTACATCTTGTCTCATAGGCAACAGGAAGTGCCTCAAGTATAGGAGATCTCAAAGCATGCCTCCACAGTGACACACTTTCTCCAACAAGACGACACTTACTCCTGTAAGACCAAAACTCCTAATAGTGCCACTGCCTCTGGGGGTCGTTTTCTTTCAAACCACACTGCTCATGATTCCGTTCTGTCCATGGGGAAAATGAGAAATGGTAAAACTGAATTTCTGGGAAAAGAGTCACAGGAAGTAAGTGGACAGAATCAACTTTTGAAGTCAAGACCGTCATGTGTATCTCATCAGGGTCATTCACAGATATCACACCAGGATGGAGCATGAGCAGTCTGTTGGCCACATGTCTCCCCGTGTTCATTCTGTCTCTAAGCCTGCCTGCCTTCACTGCCTCGCTCTTCCCCGTCTCTCACTTGAATTGAATAGCCTTCTTGCTAGTTTGTCTCATAATTCATTCAAATGTGTCACAACCAATATACAACTCTAACTACAAAATCCAACAATCTAAATCTGTCAAAAATAGACAAGCAATCACTTAATACCTGTGCTCAAATACAGTCCCTCACCTGCAGGGTCCTTTCTCCATTCCCTTTTCTGAGGTTTATCTCAGAAGCTATTTCCGCAGTAAGCCATCCTTACCCTCCCCCGCCTCAATGACCTTCTCTGTGTTTTCCATAAGATCCCAGAGGATTTATCATTTCATGTAGCCTCGACTTTGATAACGATCTGCCTTGTGTTTGTCTCCCCTGATAGACTGTAGGTTCCTTGAGAGCAAGGACAATGCCTTATTCATCTGCGTATCTCCAACACCTGAGACCATGTCTACCTGGCGCACATGCCCACCAGGTGAACTGGATGCATTAACTATTAAATAGGTACTGGCTTCCCAGTGCCTCCCAGGTAACTGAGAAAATGGCATTGAACTGAGATGAAGGCTGTGAACTGGCAGGTGGGAAGAGCATGAATTGTCCAAAGATGCTCGCTTTGAGAAACAAGCTACAGAGTAATGTTGACCACCCCCAAAATAAAAGAAATCTTAAATAAAGATTGTGAACCACACAAGGTTAGCTGGCGAGAGGAAAGGGTATTTCAAAAGTACCACAAAGCAGTGCCAATCCAACCAGCCAGTGAACCAGGCTTGGGAGCCCCGGCAAAAGTACAAGGTGTCCTAGGACATGGCAGGTCCATTGACAGGCCACAAGCCAGTTCCCATGACCAGGACCAGTGGAGACTTGGGTTTCTTTAGAGCAGTAGCTCATCAGAATTCTCTTAGTGTAGCTAAAAGCCTTTCTCTCATCCTCTGACGGTCCTTGACTGCTTCTGTCTATTGCCCAGCTTCTCCAGTTCGTCCTAATCTCTCTCTCTTCCTCCATCTCCCAGTGTCTCCATTTCCTCCTTCATCTTACTGCTTGTGTAAGATCAGCAGTGCCTTTCAAGCCTGCTGGACATTTCTGCTGCATAATGATACCTCTAATTCTAGAAAGTACACAAGTCATATGAGTGCTCACCTTGGTGTGCTGTGGACTCCTGTTTGTCTCTGCTGTTCCCTCTCCTGGGAAGTCCTTCACCTTATCCATCCCTGGTCCAGCTCAAATGTCCTCTGCTAAATGTTCCCAATCCATGGTAACAGAGACAGAATGCCCTGTTCTCTTCCCTGAACTTTAGAGATGAATTTGCTTAGACAACTAAAATAGCTTTTGTAGCACTCAATGTCTTTATTTTGTTTGCTTAACTGCCTCCTCTGGTAAACTTTGAACCCTCGAGGACAGATACCAAATATCAACCATTTCCATATCCCTGAGACTTCACAATGCCTCCGCATCATAGACACTCAAAAGAAATTTGTTTATGTAGCCTGTATTCTAAGCCAAGCACAGTGGCCCATGATTGCAATCCCAGCACTTGGAAGATTGAAGCAAGAGAATTGCTGTGAGTCTGAGACCATAGTGAGGTCTAAGCCAATCTGGAATACAGAGGGAGACCCTGCCTCAGAAGAGAGAAGGAGGAGGTAGGAGGAGAGGAAAGAGGAGGGCTAAGAAAAAGCTCAGTTGGTAAAGTGCTTGCCTTGTAACCATGAAGACCTAAATTCAGTCACCAGGAAAGGCCAGCCCTAGTAGCATACACAGAAAATGCCAGAACTAGGGGAACATCAGGTACATCCCTGGAGCTCATTAGCCAACCGGTCTATCCTCCTTAGCAAGTTCACCTGGAGAATGCGACCCAAGGTTTCCCTCTGACCTCCTCAGGAACATGCACAAATGGGAATAGGCACACGGCACACATGTATCCTCCATTCTTATTATTTATTGTGGATTCTAAAAGAAACTATGACGTGAATAGTTATACAGTTAATTAATATGAAATTTGCATACATAAGTCAAAAGGTAACCCAGTGTACCAGTTGTTGTCGCTGAATCCCTCATGCAGTTTAGATGGCCCAATGAAGCGACCTCTTTACTGAGCACACTGTGCTTCATGCCTGGTGTCCTCTATCCAGCATGTTCTGCCTCTTATCCAAGTCCTACTCATCCTCCAAGGCCCAGCCCAATAATATTCTATCAGACAAACAAAAAAGATATGATGCAAACTGTCTCCCAGATATACGAGTGTGTGATACCTACATCAACTCACAGAACAGACATATGATTGTGTGACACCTACACCAACTCACAGAACAGACATACGATTGTGCGACACCTACATCAACTCACAGAACAGACGTATGATTGTGTGACACCTACACCGACTCACAGAACAGATGTATGATTGTGTGACACCTACATCAACTCACAGAACAGACGTATGATTGTGTGACACCTACACCGACTCACAGAACAGACGTATGATTGTGTGACACCTACATCAACTCACAGAACAGACATAAGATTGTGCGACACCTACATCAACTCACAGAACAGACGTATGATTGTGTGACACCTACACCGACTCACAGAACAGACGTATGATTGTGTGACACCTACATCAACTCACAGAACAGACGTATGATTGTGTGACACCTATATCAACTCACAGAACAGACGTATGATTGTGCAACACCTACACCGACTCACAGAACAGACGTATGATTGTGCGACACCTACACCGATTCACAGAATCTGCCTACTTAAGTAGTGGTGTCATCCTCTCCATGCTAGTTGGTGATCTGAGGCCCAGAGAAATTAAGTGATCATAATTACCCCAGGTTGGATCGTCTGGATGACTTCAGAATGCTGTAGTTGATCCTGATCTAATTCATGCTGCTTCTGCATTAAATTAAATCTTAACTTGAGGACTGACTCACTGAATGAAGACTTTATACTAAACTCCCTAGAATTGCTTTACTTGATTTCATAAAACTCTTATATGAGACAGACCAATTGAAATACCGGATGAAATAAAAACAAGGAATCTGTTCCAATGCCACCTCCTCCATAACGCTTTGCTAGGTTTCCCACATGTTTAAAAAGAACTCCTCCCTCCTCTTAAGGGCATGCAGGGCATGTCTAGTCGCCTCGCTGCCCTCTGCTTCACCTCTGTCTGGCTAGCCTGTATTGTCTTTTTATAACAGACAAGAAAGCCAACCTGGTCTAACTTACCATCCATCCGTCTGAGGAAATCACCTGCCTGCCTGCTCTTTCCTCCCAGCCATTCAGTAATAGTTATTTGCTTCAAGGAAGCACTTGAAGTGAATTGGTGAATGAACACCAAGAGCCTACAGCATGCCATCAAGGCAGTCACTTAGCAATGAGGAAGGACAGAGTGTCACTTGGCATTAGTTCAGGACCACACTGCTGGGCCCACTGGCCAGGGCGGAGCAATCTCTCAGTCACTGGGCTTTCTGTGTCACATTCGATTCAAACCTAGAGACTGAATTAAAGGATTAGGTTTATTGCAATTAAGTTGTTAAATAATAAGTGTAATCATGGATGGAGAGTTGTGAACTTTCGAAAAATCACCACATATCCATTTATTCCTACTGCTGTACAGTCCTGAGTCCATCAGATGAAAACAGGAAATCGCCCCCCTAGGCCAGAAGGATTGTTACACACACCGTCAAAGGAGCTGGAGGAGCGTAGTCTGCGAATCCCCAAGGTCTACATTTATGAATATGTAGAGTTCAGGTATGGATTAGAGCGCAAACTTCTCCTTGGCTCCAAAGCTTAAATAGGATCAATGAGGAAAAAAATGATAAAGATAATTTTTATGTGTATTCATGTGAGGGTTTTTTTGTGTGGGTTGGTGTACTTGTGTGGGTGTGAGAGGGTGTGGGGTGAGTGGGTGTGTGGAGTGTGTGTGGGTGTATGTGGGTGTGGGGAGGTTTGGGGAGGTTGTAGGTATGTGTGTGTGTGGGTGTGCATGCGCACATCCGTGTACCATATCTTGTGTGTAGAGGTCAGAGGACAACTGTGGGAATCCATTTTCTCCTTCCACCATGTAATTCCAAGCATCAAACTCAGGTCATGAGGCTTGATGGCAACTGCCTTTTCTCTCCAACTTAAGACACACATTTTGATTCACTATAAGAGAAATTTTGCTGACAACCGAACTGTCCAACTATGAGCTACCAAGCCAGGAAGAATTTGCTCATTAGACCCAGTTACAGTCTGAATCTGAAACACCCTCAGAGGCTTAAAGCCTTGCTCCCCAGCCAGTAGCTTTGTCTGTGGAGGCTTCAGGAGATGTGGCCTAGCTCAGAGAATGGGTCACTGGGGGTGCACCTTTCAAGGTTACACTTGGCCCCTAGCCCCAACCCTGCTTTACTTTCCAGACTATACACTGTGATCGGCCTTCACCCTCACACTCCTGCTGCGACAGAGCCCTGTGCTCTGCCGTCCCCATCGTGATGGATGGAAACTCTCCAAAATGGTGAAATCAAAACAAACCTTTCCTCTTATCTCAGTCAGCAGTTAAATCAGCGCAATGCAGAGAGATTGACAGAGACTTGCTCAGGCAAAGCCTGGGAGCTGTGGCCGAAATGAAAAGACTTCCTGAGGAGCCCGCCTCAGAGACGAGAAGGCCTTGTTCCACGCCAGGACTCTGCACCCTAACACACATTGGAAACACATATAACAAAGGATCCAAGGATTCTGGACACCAGGTCATTAATTCTAGAGTGTAAACTAATCTATCGGCCATAGTGACTCAGTTTAACCCACATCCAGGTAGACACCCAGCCCTGACACCCTACGGAGAAGATCAGGGCTGTCATCTTGACTTCTCTCCAGATAATGACCTCACTGTTTTCTAAAGCTAGGTGAGCCCCAGAAGGTTTCTAATCGAATACCTCTAATTAGGAGAGCAACGGTACCCTCTTTAGTCAGTACTCAAAGAGCTAATTCTGTACGGTGTAGATAAGTACCGGATGGTAACTCCCACAAGCCCCTCAACTTCACCAAATAGAAACTTTCAGTTTTAATCCATTTGTTTATAAAATATTCTGGGTAAAACAAAATGCCAGGGTGACTGAATGTTCAAGATGAAATAACCCCCGGCTTGTCCTTTAAAACACACGGATATGCAACACACATGTAAAAACAAAAGGAAAAATTAGGGTTTCTATAAAGTCCAGATAGAGTGATACAAACATGCAAAGAGAAACTGGTCTCCTTGGCCCAGGCAGTGGGAAAGCCCTCCCAAAGTGTGTGCACCAAGCCATGCAGGACGGGTAGGACTGGGCAGAGAGGAAACTTGGATCTTCAGCAAGGGCGCAGAGCGCATCAAGGAACACCAGTGGAGCCATGGGAAGTACTCGCATTAGCTCATTCAGTGAAGGAGAAGAGAAACGTCGTCTCTGCAGTTTCTACTTTGGATGACAGCAGCCTTTGAAGGCCATGAACTGGGAGCATTAAACATGTGTACATTAGCTCACCGCATCCTTCCCATAGTCCTGCGGGCAGCCATTGCTATAATCCTGCGGTGACGCAGTGACAAGACACATCAACAACAATAAGCCACTCCCAAATGAAACAGAGTTGTTCTACAGAGAATAATCCCTGCCCGTTTCTTTGAGATCTAGGAAGGTGGCGGGCATACTGTCTCACTCAGTAAGCAATAAGGTTAGCGTCTGTGAAAAGGAGGCCACGGGCTCTGCGTGGTGAGCTTTGGGATGCCGTTTCACTTCCACACCAACCAGTGTTCTCACATCCTCACTGAAGGCTGGCCATGTCAGAGCATCGGGGGCCCAACTTAGCCCTCAAAGGACCTCTGTCACTTTACCTACGGGATCAAAAGGCAGCTTGGCATCAGAACTGGTCAGAAGGAGTTTTCACAAACACGCCTTTCTTAAGAAACTCAAACTCATGGAGGGCATTTTACACTCCAATTTTCCATTTTGAGAGTTTCTAATTTTAAATGAAGCAATAAGAGAGATGTTACCTAATTTTTTACATTTCTTGTTTTGTAGTTTATCTCTATGGATCTTCTCTTCCGGTTCTCGAAAACGCATGTGTAAACTACATCATGCACAGCCCATGGTGGGTACTTGGTTAGCTCAACGACTAAAATAGGTTCTTAAAGCCAAGTGAAGACAGGTGTGTGAGACGCTTCTTCACAGTCTTCTTCAGTGGAAGTCAGAGGGCCTTTAGAAAAATGGTATCCCACCGTGGGAACAAGATGAATGCCGGTAATTGTTGGTGTGGACAGCGCAGTATGGTG